GAGTGTGAGTGTGTGAGTGTGTGTGTGTGAGTGTGTGTGTGAGTGTGTGAGTGTGAGTGTGTGTGTGTGAGTGTGTGAGTGTGTGTGTGTGTGTGAGTCGTACCTCGATGGCATCAAAGCCGCAGTACTCACGAGCCAGCTCCAGCAGTGGCACCAGTGCCTGCAGTAAGAGGGTGCTTCCGCATGTCTTCAAAATGAAACGTCTCTTGGAGACAAACATGCTACTCTCACTAGGAGAGAGAGAGAGAGAGAGAGAGAATCACCAAGGAGGGGTTAATCCTTTAAATTATGGATCATTGTTACAGCAATGTGAAGCATTCACAATATTTACCTTAATATTTTTGCTAATATAAAATGAATCAACATTGTTGAATATCAATGACTTTAATGCATTTTCCCCTACACTCGCTCATTCCATTACAGACCATAGCAAAAATGCTTAGAGTTAAGCCATTTGTGACCGTGGACCACAAAACCAGTCATAAGGGTCAATTTTTTGAAATTGAGATTTATAAACCATCTCAAAGCTGAATAAATAAGCTTTCCATTGATGTATGGTTTGTTAGGATAGGACAATATTTGAAAATTAAGTTTTGATATATTTACAGCAGGAAATTTACAAAATATCTTAATGGAACATGATCTTTACTTAATATCCTAATGATTTTTGGCATAAAAGAAAAATCGATAATTTTGACCCATACAATGTATTTTTGGCTATTGCTACAAATATACCCCAGCGACTTAAGACTGCTTTTGTGCTCCAGGGTCACAATTTAGGAATGAGTTCTCTTGAACTGTCCATTTTAATAAATGAGCTCAAAACTCTTTTCCACTATGTGTCTATGGAAGCCACTGCATGGCAAGTGGTGCTACAAAGATAAATAAAAATTATGCTAATGATTAAATATTCTTCCTTGTTTGAACGCTTTATTTTTAACTTTCAGGATCTTTAAAGCCATTTCAGCAGAATTGTAAATAAAAAGTAAAAATCCATGCAGCTTTTTTCTCTCCAGACAGCTATGAATAGCTTTGACCCTTCGTCTCTCAGACCAAATAAATGGCTTAGCGTCCGTCATCCTTAGCAGGACGCGTTTACAAGTACTCTGAATCATTTACCTCCATGACACACAGATGCCTTTCATATTAGTCTTATCAGCTTGTGAGTATCTCTAAGCTGAAACGCTGCTGTGAGATTCAGTGTGCAAACAGCATCAGCACATTAATAATCAGCATCAGTATCGTGATAAACATTCAGGACTCGCAGTAAAATGTTTCGGTAACACTTTATTTTAAGGTGTCCTTGTAACACGTTACATATGCTTACTATTATAATAACAGTAAATTATTGCTGTCAAATGATTAATCACGATTAATCGCATTCAAAATAAAAGTTTTGGTTTATATATGTGTGTATACTGTGTATATTTATTATGTATATATAAATACAAACACATGCATGTATATATTTAAGAAAAATATGTTATGTTTATATATTAAATATATTTATATATAATATAAAAATATAAATACATTTATATACACATGCAAATATTTTCAAAATATATACTGTATGTGTGTGTATTTATATATACATACTAAATATACACAGTACACACACACATATATTATGTAAACAAAAACGTTTATTTTTGATGCGATTAATCGTTTGACAGGACTACAATAAATTATGCATAATTATTACATGCAAGTAACTCTAAGCCAAACCCTAACCATACAGTATGTACATGTAATTAATAAATATAACTTAGTAGCTACATGTATAATTACAGTGTAACAAAGACACCTCAAAATAAAGTGTAACATGTTTCATTTGAGCGATTTAGTTTTTAAAAACAACATGAAATGACATTTGCAACGTATCTAACTTCTTTAAGCCGCATTTCCGAATTGCGCAACATTCACAATTTATCTGTAAATCAGTTTGGGCTGTAACGTCGCTACGAATAACCCACGGCACTTTTCTGATTCCGTTTCTCAGTGGTGTGATGTGAATGAAATCTTGAAAATGCTGTTGATTTTGAGCGGTTTGAAGGCTGAAGGATCACAGCGTCGTCACAATGTTGTGCTGACGAATCAATAGCTCACCTGAGTATATAAGCTTCCTGCTTGTCAGTCTTTGTCACACTTATAATCAAACAATGCACATTCTCCAGAAGTTTGTCCCACTCAAATCTGAAAAGGCACAGAGAGAGAGAAACATTAAGACCTCAGTTATTATTAGGAATAGGGTTGCAAAAAGGTGGAACATTTCCAGTAAATTTCGGAAACATTTCAGAAATTTTGGAAACTTTCCAGGATTTTTTGGAACATTCCAGGGATTTTTGGAAATTTTCCACCCCTTTGCAACCCTAATTAGCAAACATGATTTTATTATTTTCTGCATGAATCTGAGTACTACTTATTATGTGAAAAATAACACTTTCCAAACGCTGGAACAATGGCAAACGTTTCCAACGAGGCAGAGTTAGACAGTCACATTTTCTGGAAAGAATAAGTAAATAACTGACTATCTGACTATAGAGCACAAACGGACACAGATTGTATGGATTTCATGGTGCATCTCTTGAGGTCATTCGCTCTGCGGCAATGTTGAACTTGTGTCGTAGAGCTGTCAAATTTCACACATTTGGCACAAGCTCAGGTGGCCTGTTGGATGGCAATCAAAGTCTTGAATAAAATGAGGGTTTATTTTGCAATAATACAATACGTTTACACAATTCTGCCAATTACACCAATTATTTATGCAGTTTTGTGTCATTATACAAACATTTGACCACAGAAAGCTGTGATCGCCACAGTCAAGTACTCCAAAAGAAAAAAACGAATTTGCTCAAACTTACCCCACTCGAATTTATTCAAAAGACCCATCAATCTCTGTTGAGTGAGTTTCACATATGGACTATACTTGTTACCTCGTCAAATAAATATCTTGGGCAAGATGACGACGTAAGTCTTCTTAAAAAACTGATTCAGTTGTCACACGCCTGACAAAGTCAAACCGTTTCGATTACACAAAGAAGAAAGCAACACGAGTCTCTAGTAATACACAGCTTTAGGTTTCCTCTCAATAATCATACATAATTTATGATGTATTAGTGTTTCTTCAACTACAGGGACTAATGTCCCATTTGTGGTGTAATTAACTATAAATGTAGTTTTGTTCAAAATTTGTAGTTTAGAAATAATTATAATCTAAACCATACAAAATAGGGTTTTAAAATATGATCGTGGTTTTGCGCAGCTTGTCAGTGAACAACGGCTCTGTGTAGTTAATGCTGCTCAATGTGAAAGCCCGCAGGTGATGGAGATTTACCGCTGATTACAGAACCGGCTTTACTGATAAGATGCGCATTAAATATCGCATGCGATTTATCGTGCAGCCCTAATACAAAAACATGAATCAAAAATCAGTTTAAGATTAATATTACTGTAATATATTAAGTGAAATTGTTGATATAAAATAGGAGGCATAATAGGAGAAGAAAACCAAGATAAAGTTAATCAAAATATTTTGATCCACTCCAACTGTAATTGACAAATAATACACAAAACTGTGAAAATATTGGATCGTGTGTAGAGATGTAACGGTGTGAAAATTTCTTATCACGATTATTGTGACCTAAATTATCACGGTATTTTTAAAATGTACTGGAAATGTTCAAAAAGTACTGACACATAAATCGTTTCAGCAAGTTTTGTATTTAAAATCAACAAACAATCAACAAAATTACTTTTTGTTGCACAAGCACTAAAACTACAACATTACCAAAGATGTCCGGATTTTAAAAGACAACATGACTGAATAGCATGTACGAAATGTTCAAATAAAGCTTTGAAAACGTTTCAAGAAAAGAGTTGTCAAAATGATCATTTAATAATAAATAATTATATGTATTTAATCTGCTCCATAAATAATTCTAGATAGGCTACCTTATCCGAATTGTTTAAGTGTGTAGAATCCACATAAGCTTGTTTTTCATCAACAGGTCAAAATTTACAGCAGGGCATGCAAAATGGGTCTGTTTTTTTGCCCAGATAAAAACTGTACACAGGCTGAATGTAAATCTAAGTCTCTGTAAATCCACTCTCTGACAGCAGGTGGCGCTTTTGGAACAGTAGAATTACAGCTGTTTCCCATAACCTCCGTGTACAAAGCAGTATTATAGGGCTGAGAAAATAAATCGATGCATCACGAATCGAGAAATGATTCTGCATAGGCCTGGGCGATAAAACGGTATCGATATTTATCGATGGTACACCTTCTTCGATAACGATATAACATTTTTTCGATATGGCGCACGATATAGGCACGTGCTATGAGTGACGCAGACAGCACACACAAACACGAACACATGCTGAATTGAGTGCTGTACCTGCCTGTGATGAGGAGATTGTGAATAAAAAAATGAATATTAGTCGAATTTAAAATAAACACTTGCATTTGAATGCAAAAATAGTACAATCGAATGTTAGGTGTGCATCAGGGAGCGTCATCAGTGGCGCATGAGATGCGGTGATGATGTTGTAAGTGATGTTGTAGTTTAACGTTTTGTTAGTCTAGCCCACGAGACGCGCAGTTGCTGCGTTATTTATTCAAAATGTTAGCGATATATAGTAGCTCAATGCGTAGAAGATCTTGATTAGGTTAAAACCGAACCCAAGCCATTCACACAGAACGCATATTCAGCGCATTTTGACGGACAAATATGATTGCTGCACTATGACTGCTGCACCTATTTAATCTGCATAGAAAACATTAGAAATTAGATATTTGTTAAATTTTTATTGTGTGTACGCACCACTTGAACCTAAAATAATCATTCATAAAGTTCGAAAAGGTTGAAGCGAATTACAAGAGTGTTCGCAGTGGGCTGTGTTTACATTAATCTCGCATCATAAAAGCCGATGTGCAAGTACATTTAACCACTTACATTACTCAGCCGAACGCTCAAGCGCTCTTCTTCGTGACTTCGAAACTAGCCTAGAGCGCCACAGTATTTAGCCTATTTATTGCGAGTTGTTCAAATCGTGGTAATTGGATATACGGTTTTAATGATAATTAAAATATGAAACGGTAATACTAACCGTGGGGGATTTTATCATGATTTATCATCAAACCGGTAATCGTTCCATCCCTAACTGTGTGTATCAAGAACTAGGGTTGCAAAGGGGTGGAAAATTTCCGGTAACTTTCCGGAAACTTTCCAAAAATCCCTGGAATATTCAAAAAAAAAAAAATCCTGGAAAGGACATTTTCCACCTTTTTGCAACCCTATCACGGACACACAAAATGCTAGTTATGAATTATTAAAAAGGCCGATTTGAGCTCAGTAAAGTGCTTCCTTGCGCTGTAGGAAGACGAGGGGCAGTTACACGGCCTGCTGGATTTATTTGGAAACTAGCTGTGCTCAGACTCTAATGATCCTCTTTCTAGTATCTCTGAGTGTGTTAATGCTTTGCCGGAAGTAAACTAATAGCCCTCATCATTCAACCTGACAGCCGTACCCAGAGAAACCACAGAGATCAGCTTTCAGTTCTGAGAAACCTTACTATAGATGCAGCAGAGGAGCGCTGATGTCTTCACTCATTCATATTTTACACACCTAGCTTCTACATGAGCTGGAAGGCTGACTGTAACTGACTTAGAGTTATACATTATAGAGTACTGGACCTTATGAAAATAAGTACAATAGATCAATAGTATAAAACACAACTTTATGGAAGCATGCAGAGCTGGGTAGATTACTTACAAATTGTAGTCCATTACTGACTCCAAATTACATGACAAAAATTGTAGTTAATAACGTAATCCATTACATTACACATTTTAGGTAATCTAATCAGATTACTTTTAGATTACTTTAGACCTATCTCGTTTATCACATTGATTTAAATTGGATACCATACTGATATAAAAATATTTAAAACAAAGTAAGAAAATATATTCCATTTGTTGTTATCAACAACATGAAGTGCATTAAACATTATACTACGTCTAGGTTTCCCAAATTGTAATAATTCAAATAAGAATGAATGCGTTCATCAGTAGTTGATGCAATGTTGAAACACTTCTTAATCTTGAAAAGATTTTTGTAAATCCAGTGCTCAGTAGGGCTGTCGAAAAAAATTCAGATTTCGAATATTCGTCAAATTAAAAAAAAAAAAATTCACATTCGAATGCAAAAACGTTGCATTCGTATTTTAGGTCTGCGTCAGCCGTCAGGCAGCCTATCAGTGGCGCACGAGATGCGACGACGATGTAAGTGTCATTGCATTTTAATGCTTTGTTAGCCTATCCAGTTGAAGCCACTAGATGCGGCGCTGCTACGTTGTTCATTGAATATATTGCTGGTTTATAAACATTATTTTAAACATTATGCACTTTTTTCCCCCAAAGATAGTCATGTTATTTTATTACGCTTTGAAGAAATGTGCATTAGTAATATTTTGCTTGATGCGCCCTCTTGTGGCCTCAGGAGAGAAGCCAAACGCTTTTAACCCCTAACTGAAATTATGCCTTTTAAATTCAAATATAATTCAGGGTTAGTCCATATTTGACCCAAAGTTGGTTGAAACAACCCAGCATTTTTTAGAGTGGAGGAGCACTTATTGGCTTATTAGTCATTCATTTCTACTTTTTTCCCCTATATTTTGAAATTATAAAATCACTATTATAAAATATCAAATCATCAACAAATCAGATTTTTACACTTTTTTTGTTAATGAAGAAAGAAAAGTCACAAAGTGCCTTGAAAAACAAACTTTTCTTCAATTTGCTACTAAATCACATAATCACTGAAGTTGGTCAGTTCCATATATTAGAAGAATAATGGTTTTCTATATAAAAATTAGATTTTGCACTTTTATTACTGTTGTTAATAAAAGTAAATTTTGTATGCATCTTAACTCAAGCTTAGTGCTTTACTGTCAAATCTGTATAAACAAACAAAATAAACAAGAAATTAACATGTAATATTATTAGTAACTACACTTATTCATGCAAAACAATAGTAATTTTATGATTAAATTATCTATATTTTAATACTCCCGCACAGCGCTACCAAATCTGCTCCTGGCGCCACCATCTGCAGATCTTAGTGGTGCTGGTGCCGCTGCTCTCAAATATTAGTCCGGAGCTCTGTAATTCTAATCTTGATCATATTTAAGTAGAAAATTCTAATTTAGTTTTTCAGTCATTTTGACAGCCCTAGTGCTCAGATGCTGTGTATCCACCAAACTAATGACTGATCTCTGCGTTAATGTCCACAAAACTGCAAGACTTTGAGTGTATATAAGCGGTAGGCTATTTTGGGAAGTAAAATATAAAAGATGAAAAATTAGTGATAATCCACAAATTATGAATACATTATTGCTATTGAGTGAATATGTAATCATGTAATCCATAAAAAGTAACTGTAGTCTGATTACGAGTATTTCAAAATGTAATTTAATCCAATTACATGTACTTAATTTTTTGGAATTGGATTACGTAATCCAGTTACTACCCAGCTCTATAAACATATTAATGTATTGTTTTTGTTGTTGGCAGGCATCGTAGTATTAATACAGGACTTTTTTTGTAGTAATAGACCAATATTTTGAGAACAGCAGTATCCGATATTTCCGCCACTATTTCGAGAATATTAGTATCAGCCAATAAACATGTTCATTACTTTGCTAAATGATAATGCACACATATTAGTGAACTTCCACATAAAGTGTTTATTTATTTTTAAAATATATTTTGTCATTTGCAATTATAACTCTGTATTACATATAGCCTAGACATCAAGAAATTAACATTGCACATTAAATTAATGTTGTAAAATGTTGTTTTCTGTCCGCATTAACTCTTCAGCTCGCAGTCCGCAGGAGACGCATGCGCACCGCCGCAGCTGTCTGCGCACATATAACACCAACCAATGAGCGACTAGAACTCCCGACCAATCACAACACATGGGCGGAGCTTACGACGTGTGACGCAGACGCGTGACTTTCACACGGAGGCTGCGGCGCAGGATCAAGCGCCATGATTCTTCCCAAAAATAGAGCTCTGGCATGCAATCAGTCGTATATGGTGAAGCACAACTGCAATCGCAAGTCTTCAAAGATTCGTTTTTGTTGTTGTTAAATACCTATAACTTTGTGGAAATTAAAAAAAATAAAGCTAGTAACGCAACGTCAACAAAAGGACTCAATAGCATCCAGTATGCATTCATATGTACAGAAGCACTGTGTTGTTTGCTATGGCGCCATATCAGCTAGCTGCAAGTTAGCCACTGGCTAATCAATCGATCAGCTCATCAATAACTGATTCAGGGCTGATCCGAGCCACGACTCCAGAGACGGATGGACATTGCAGAGCGATGTTGAGAGACACAGACAGGGCCAGACTCAGATCAAAACCTGTAAGTTATCCAGACGTTGATTCAATATGTTGTTGATGTTGTTCATGACGACTCGGAATAGTTTAAGTATGCCCAAAAGAAGAAGTATGAGGGGAAACATCTCACTGGGGCTCAGGTTCAGCTCCAGTCCTGACAGCTCAGATGAATGAGCGTAAAGGGGGATGGTGTCAAAACTGCTGATCACTGCTCAGGTGTCAGAGCCACATGTCACTCAGCAGCTCTCAGAACTAGCACGGTGACATTACTGATGGTGTATGCATGCTTTAAGCGATAGGGCGCCGCTGGTTGTCTGGCTCGGTTCAATCCAGTCCCAGCTCGGACTTGTTCACTCACCTAGGGATAGTGCGCAGATCCCCGGGTCCTTTGCTTTCGTCTTCTCGGGAGAACCACACCTCCAAGAGCTTCTCGGTCCCCTCGAAGAAGTGTGCACTGCTCTCTTCCATCGTGACACAAACAGACCCCAACAACAGAAATTAAACCGTCGGATGGAATCCCAGTTAATTAGTCCTTTGTTGGTTGTTATAATTTATTAGCTTAGTTACAGTCCTTGAGCAGTCCAGATGTAGTTGCCTTGTTTTTTTTTTACCGTCTTCCCTTTTACAGAGAATACCGTAGGCGAGCGCTAGCTAATATCGCCGGCCATACTGTGTAAGCGCAGAATGGCAGCCTGCGCGGAGCTTTTATTACCTACCCGCCGACGTCATCCGCATTGCGGCCAATCACGGCCAAGAAGCCGCCCTCATGTCAGCAACGACTGGCTGTAGCTGTTGTCAATCAAATTGGCGGTTGCGTAAAGGTATGAGCTCAGACTGTAGTAGCACAGCTTGTATATAATGCCCTTGTAAAGGCGAATAAACGCTGCGCCAGTACACAGGCAACTGATAATTGGTCCCCGTTTATTCTCTAGTCTGTTGAAGACAAAATATGGTTTGCTTGTGCATTTTACACCATCACCAAACGTTTTGAGGACCAGAGTTATTATCGTACTTCTGTTAGAATGACAGCTAATGCAAAGGTTGAATATTCCAACAACCTCGAACATTTGAAAGGGACTGGAACGACGTCCAACATCGCGATTTGCGCGTTGTAGTTCACAGGCGACCTACCGTCGTTAACTCAAACCGGTGGATTGATCGGAGTACACTACAGTTCCCAGAAGGCAATCGGCCACAATAACATACGTCATCGAACACGTGATCATTAAGCGGATCCGACCAAAATCCCAAACAAGGAAATGGTGGGGTAATAAAACGATCGGATCATTTAATTGATGCATGTAATAATTAAAATTTTATTTTATTGTAAATTAAGAAACATTTATGGGTTAAAATGGACCACGACTTCAAAACGAAGCTCGCCGCCGAGAGGGAGAGAGTGGAAGATCTGTTTGAATATGAAGGTTGTAAAGTGGGTCGCGGCACATACGGGCATGTTTATAAAGCGAAGCGTAAAGACGGGTAAGATGCACGCGTTTCACTCACTGCTGACAGCATGTGTGTGTGTGTGTGTGTGTACCGGGGGAATTGTGCTGTTATCTCTGCCCCTGTGCGATTGTTGTTGTTTTCATGGGCGCACTTCAAACGGTCCACCCCCAAACCAGCGTGATGTATATGTTTCACTGCTATGTTCACGTGCTTACCTGTTCATGCGTTCATATGGGCGGGAGTTTACATGCTTCGTTGTTCAGCAGTCCGTGTGTTCAGAAATGCACTTGTGCTGGATGTCATGCGTGCATGCGTTCATTTGTGCAGTGCAGTGTCTGCAGGAGTTCACGTGTTGATCTGTGCAGAAGTTCTCGTTTTCCTGAAAGCGTCGCAGATGTTCAGAAATGCATGTTTACATGTGCAGAAGTGCTACACTGCATGCACACTGGCATAGGAGTTCGTATGCTTATGTGTTCAAGAGTTCATGTGTGTGTTCATTTATGCATGCAGGGGCTAGGAGTAACATGCAGCAATAACCGGTGATCATGCCAATGCGAAATGCTGCCAGTCACACTGTGTCCTATACAAAAATACCCTAGTGACAGCGAGGTGATCATATGTTTCTGAGGCAGTTGCTCGCCTTCAGCTGCAAAACTATTTTCTGCTGGCACAGCTTAATGTCCACAGACTTCAAGCAATTACAACAGTGTTATATAATAGAATAAGTGATTCAGATCAATCATATTACAGCAATCACATCAAAACGTAATATGAAAAGACCTATTTCATTAGAATTTCTGATATTGATGCTAGATTATTTATCACACACTCAAAACTGGCACGAAAGCTGTTAACCGAGGCAGCACCCTTCTGCTGAACACAAGAGAAGATGTTTTGAACAGTAGTAAGTACGCTGGACATGATTGTGGACCATCAGCTGTTCATTCACACACATTCTTCAAAATATCTTTTGTGTTGAGCAGAAGAAAGAAACTCGTACAGGTTTGTACCAACTTGAGGGTTAGCAAATGACGAGCATGCATGTGAAAGCAGCAGTGTTTCAGACGCATTCAACTCTGACTGCCTTGTTTTTCACTGAAAAAATGTCTTATTGAATTTATTCAATATTTTAGGGCAAGTGTTTGCATTAAATATGTCTTAATTTCAGAAATACCAGTTTAGTTGAACCTAGTCAATGTTCTTTTCAATTACATCAGCTCCATTATATTGAGTAGATTCCAGTATATTCAAGTCTGTATTTTTGAGTGAAGATGAATCAGTGTTTAATGTTGGATTATGGTGTACATTTTAAAGGAGACATAGTATGCCCCTTTTTACAATATGTAATATAAGTCTCTAGTGTCCCCAGCATGTGTCTGTGAAGTTTCAGCTCAAAATACTCCACAGATCATCTATTATATCATTTTGAAAATGCCTATTTTGAGTGGAAGCAGAAACAGGTTGTTTTTCGTGCCTGTCTCTTTAAATGCAAATGAGCTGCTGCTCCCCGCCCCCTTTTCCAGAATAGAGCTGCGCCTTTACAGCTCGTACCTGCTAAGCACATCTGTTTTGGTTCTGATTATCATGTCTATCGCGCTGAAATCATGCGGTTTAAATATGGCGGCAGTTCTATGCCATTAATACCCGAGCGCACCATATGAGTTTAAACTTCTGATATACGGTTTTCGGAGCGCACACATCCGAAGCACACACACAGAAAGCGGCTGTCACAGCACGTGAGTACTAAACTAAGTTCTCATTCACACACAAGTTTACCTTAAAAACACACATGAGTTACAAAAACAGTGGGTTATGTCTGTGAAGGTAAACAGCTGGGAAATAAATCGCATGTTTACAGTTAGTGTGTTTTGCTCAAACTTTCTCCATGGCATTAGAGCTGGTACACCGTTGTCGCTTGCGAAAACACAATAACGGCGCCGTGGGTGTAAACTTACAGATTAAGGGACGGTAATATTATAATGAGATCCCTTTGCCACGTCACCAAGGAAGCGAAATCGGACGCGCTCATTTTTTTCAAACACTTGCAGAAAAAGGCTTACCAAAACAAAGTTACTGGGTTAATCTTTTTCACGTTTGCTTGGTTGGTAGATGCACCAGGGACCTGATTATAGCACTTACAACCTGGAAAAGTCAGATTTTCATGATATGTCACCTTTAAAAAAAAAAAAGGTTCTGTAGCTAGCATAGCACGTTTACATATAAAAGCAGTGAACAATAATAAGTTACATATCACTGCACTGACTTAACATTGAGTGAAGCTACATACACTATTGTCTTCATTAATGTAGAGCCACCACAACCTCAGCACAATGGCAAGCACAACAACTTCAACATTACAGAAAACACTTACATGGCAAAGATAACTGAACATGAAACATGAGCAGGTCTGCCTTTGACATGACATTATGTGGTTTAGGAACAGCTCACTCTTTAAGTCTTACATGTGATTATATCATGATAAAAACAGATGAAAGTATGCTGGTGTCTGATTGGCTGTTTGTTCTGATCATCAGTGCAGCTCATGTTGACGCTCATAAGCACGTCAGGTTTGTAAGGCTGGAGTTTTTTTTATGTGTGAATAGTGATCGAATTGCTCACATGTAGCTAAATTACAATTTGTGACCCTGGAGCACAAAAGCAGTCTGAAGTCGCTGGGGGATATTTGTAGCAATAGCCAACAATACATTGTATGGGTCAAAATTATCCATTTTTCTTTTATGCCAAAAATCATTAAGAAATTTACTAAATATCTTCATGTTCCATGAAGATATTTTGTAAATTTCCTACCGTAAATATATCAAAACTGAATTTTTGATTAGTAATATGCATTGCTAAGAACTTCATTTGGACAACTTTAAAGATGATTTTCTCAATATTTAGATTTTTTTGCACCCTCAGATTCCAGATTTTCAAATAGTTGTATCTCAGCCAAATATTGTCCTATCCTAACAAACCATACATATATGGAAAGCTTATTTATTCAACTTTCAGATAATGTATACATCTCAATTTCAAATAAAATTGACCCTTATGACTGGTTTTGTGCTCCAGGGTCACATATATGTGTGAACCGCAGGTGGAAAAAAAAAAAAAGATGCATTAAGAAGAAGAGTAAAAAAAATTATTTCATTTAGTTAGGCTAGATGAGGCCAGTGGTTCCCAACCATGGTCCTGGAGTAGTACAAGTAGGCTGTGGATTTTGGTATTGAAACATATTGCCCTCATGTGAAATTCCAGAACATCTGGATTCTTTGTTAATTGATTGGATGTAGTTTGTGAAAAGTCTCAGAACAACGGCTAACGTGACCACACCTTGAGTTCATATCATATATTGGTACAAAATTGGTACTTATTCACAGAAAAAAAAAAAAATTACTTCTAATTATAGAGGTATTTAAGCACTTCCCTGGAAAATGTTTGCATTTCATTGCATTGGGTAACAAAACATGCAAACAAGTGTTGTTTACTTTTAAGAAAGGTAGCTCAAGAACACTTTGCATGTTAAATGTTTTACAGAGTATATTTTTGAAATAATAAAAGATAATGTTGTATTGGAAATTAAGGCAAAAGGAAACATTTTGTGGATCTGAAATGTTAGTGCGACATATTAATAGTTTAATGTAATGAACTACACCTGTGTGAACTTGAGGAGGGCTTTGTACATCTCATTAAAGAGTTTTTGGTCGGTTGGTTAAAAATCATTGCAAAGAAAAGTGAAGTTACTTTTGAGAAAATGGATATTTAAATAGTGAATTCTATTCACCAGACAATCAATCAATAACCATGAGTAATCATGTAAACTAGATGAGAAATATGAAAAAATACTGCTTCAGCCATCAGTCATCATTACAAAAAAGAAATTGGTTCACAGAGATTTTGGTAGAATCATGAACTCTAACTTGGAGAAAAGTTATTATTTAATTCGGTAATATCAATATCAATGCACATTATTTAATTATTAGCATAATGTATTTTATTTATTATATTAGCAAAAATTAAAGTACATTATTGTGTAAACAAGCACTTTTTAATGGTTACTACTTTATGATTTATTAATTAAATACATAATATATTGTTATTCATGTCTTAAATGTAAGTTACTGAAATACAACAGATAGTTGTTTAATAGAGTTATTCATATTCAAAAGTGTTGTAATGGTATATTTACGGTATGTGCGTAGCTGTTTTTCCTCACCTTTAGTA